GTCGTCGGGGGGGGGAAGGAATATTTCGAGGAGCTCCTCAATCCCGTTGACACGTCTTCCGAGGGGGGAGCTGAAGCTGAGGACTCAGCAGCTGATCCTCCAATCTCCTGCGCTGAGGTCACCGAGGCAGTCAAAAAGCTGCTCGGTGGAAAGGCGCCGGGGGTGGATGAGATACGCCCTGAGTATCTTAAGTCTCTGGATGTTGTGGGGTTGTCTTGGCTGACACGCCTCTACAGCATCGCGTGGCAGTCGGGGACAGTACCTCTGGACTGGCAGACCGGGGTGGTGGTACCTCTTTTCAAAAAAGGGGACCGGAGGGTGTGTTCCAACTATCGGGGGATCACACTCCTCAGCCTCCCGGGAAAAGTCTATTCCAGAGTACTGGAGAGGAAAATCCGGCCGATAGTCGAACCTCGGATTCAAGAGGAACAATGCGGTTTTCGTCCTGGTCGTGGAACACTGGACCAGCTCTATACCCTTCAGAGGGTGCTTGAGGGTTCATGGGAGTTTGCCCAACCGGTCCACATGTGTTTTGTGGACTTGGAAAAGGCTTTCGATCGTGTCCCTCGTGGTATCCTGTGGGGGGTGCTTCGAGAGTATGGGGTTGGGGGCCCTCTTTTAAGGGCTGTCCAGTCCCTGTACGATCGGAGTAGGAGCTTGGTTCGCATTGCCGGCAGTAAGTCGGACCTGTTCCCGGTGCATGTGGGACTACGACAGGGCTGCCCTTTGTCACCGGTTCTGTTCATTATTTTCATGGACAGAATTTCTAGGCGCAGCCAGGTGTCGGGTGGGGTCCAGTTCGGTAGCCACCGGATTTCATCTCTGCTTTTTGCAGATGATGTGGTGTTGTTGGCTTCTTCGAACCAGGACCTGCAGCATGCACTGGGGCGGTTTGCAGTAGAGTGTAACGCAGCTGGGATGAAAATTAGCACCTCTAAGTCCGAGGCCATGGTTCTCGACCGGAAAAAGGTGGTATGCACCCTTCGGGTCGGGGATGAAGTCCTGCCTCAGGTGGAGGAGTTCAAATATCGTCTTGTTCACGAGTGAGGGTAGGATCGAGCGTGAGATTGACAGGCGGATCGGTGCTGCGGCCGCAGTAATGCCATAGACAAAAGGCTGAGCTGGAGGTTGAGGAGATGAAGATGTGAGATCTTCACTGGGAGTCACCAGGATGGACAGGAGTAGAAATGGGCAGTTAATGTGGAGCAGTATGGAGATGAAATTAAAGAGGTGAGGTGGAGATGGTTTGGATATGAGCTGAGGAGAGAGTGGAGATATTGGACGAAGGATGTTGAAGATGCAGAAGGAGAAGAAGGAGAAGAAGGAGAAGGAGAAGAAGAAAAAGAAGAATGAGAAGGAGAAAAAGAAAGAGAAGAAGGAGAAATAAAAAGAAGAAGAAAAGAAAAAGGAGAAGCAGAAGGAGAAGGAGAAGAATGAGAAGAAGAAGAAGCAGAAGAAGGACAAGATAAAGGAGAAATAGAAGAAGGAGAAGAAGAAGGAAAAGACAGAGAAGGAGAAGAAGAAGGAGGAAAGAAGAAGAAGGAGAAGGAGAAGAAGAAGAAGAAATAGAAGAAGTTGAAGAAGGAGAAGAAGGAGAAGAAGAAGGAGAAGAAGAAAAAGAAGAAGGAGAAGGAGAAGAAAGAGAAGAAAAAGAAGTAGAATGATGAGAAGAACATGAATGGTTTGATATAAATGTTGTATAAATGAATTAATACAGTATCACTACTCATTTCTTTGTGTTCTTTTGAATGGGGTATGTACTAAAACCGTATAGTGTGCAATAAAAGAGCACTTTTCGGGGGATGGAGACACTCATCTCATGACAGTAAATGACTGCAGTGACATCTGTAAACTAAAAGACTAGTTTTCTAGTGTTGAATACTTACCCTGGTAAAGCAGAGCAAAGCCTTGGGCCTCGTTGGTGCGGTCAGAGTAAAAGTAGAGAATGACAAAGTTGCCCGTGATGTTCACCAGCTCCCATGGTGGGCTACGCCAGTCAAAGCGCGCCACCACCTGGTTGGTGTAGCCGTCCAGTAGCTCCACCATGTCCGTCTGATCGGAAATATCGAAGAAGGTGAAGTTGAAGAGGATGGCAAAGGCTTCGGGGACCTGGATTGTCCAGTAGCACACATGGCTGGCTCCGTATTTGTCCGGGAAGTCAGGAGAGTAGATGACTCCTGACGGAGAGGTGTAGTTGCCCCCACAGGTCCCTACTCGAGCTAAAAAAATTGGGAACAAAAATGGTGTAAAGGTTGATGACAACTTGTCCACAAATATTATGTAGAGTTTTTAAATGTAATAAACTTCACAAGTGTGGCACTTTGGCCCAGAGGCAACGTCTCTGTCATTGGTGTGGAACACCAGGGTTTACCTCCTGGGCAAAATCGAATCCCGGTTAGGGCGGTTGGTAACTTCCAGTGGACTCACCTCCCGCAGGAAGGTTTAGGGGGTGTTGGTACGGTGCAGTGTGATTTGGGTGGCGGTCATGGAGACTGCTGCCCCGCGACCCGGTAACGGATAAGCGGGGCATGAAAATGGATGGATGGATGGAAACTTCACAAGTATCTCTGATACATAGTTCAGTGGTTCCCAAAATGGGGAGCCTGCGCCCCCGCGACCCGGTAACGGATAAGCGGGGCATGAAAATGGATGGATGGATGGAAACTTCACAAGTATCTCTGATACATAGTTCAGTGGTTCCCAAAATGGGGGTGCAGGCCGCGTTAAAACAAAACTCACTATCAAAGACGATGACCCAGCCATCTCCACCGCAGGGCTGGGTGTGGTCCCCGAAGCAAACATGGTTGCACTCCTTGCTCGGCGACTCCACGTGGTCATGCAGGTCAACCTCGTTTCCACAGAAACAGGCATATCCTGATTCCATGCCTGCGAGCTGCAGAAAAATGAAGGAAATAAAAAAACATATAAATCATTAAATCATCTGCAAAAAAAGTTAAGTATTCTCATTAAAGTGAAACTTTCCAATGGTTTCATATATTCTGAAGCAGATCAAAAGTTTCTTTGACTTTTTTGAAAACTAAATGCACTGAAATAATTTAGGTGAGCTATTCTCCAGGGATCAAATATATGGATTTTTTTAACATTTTTTATTGTATCTGGTCCTCATGGTACAATAACCATTAACACAATATTTTATATTCAGGTCATGAACACCTCCACACGCTGCAGGTACAGCCTCGGACAAAGTAGAGCTGATAGTAACACTGCTGACACGCAGACATAGTTTTTCCTGCTACAGTGAGGCTGATGGCGAAAAAACAAAAGCTTGAATGGAAGTCCAATAGCCTCTCATTATCCCGCCATACATATGCAATCATTTTCAATATCCATGTGACACAAAATGGCAAAACTAACTCCTAAATTATTAACGTTTTCTACTGCTATTTAATATTTTATAAGAGTTGTCACTTCCAATTATTTCTTTACTATTCATTTTTATTTGGTATCTGTTAAGATATTTTAAATACATTTATTGAAATATTAACGATATATTCATTATATTAAATTTCCATATCAATTTATACTGTTTGTTTTTCAATGCTGTACTAATGCTGATGGTTTACATAACAGGATGGTGTATGGTACGGATGGCACTGACTGTTACGCTTGGAGATAGAGACAGGTCACAGAACCGGCCTGAACCAGTTTCTCTGCCCAAATAATGAGGAAAACAGAACATCAAAAAGGAAAAGAATCCAAAGTGTATTTCTTTGATCTAACCTGAGTTACTGAGCAGAATAGCTCAGCACATGTACATGTTTTCTATTGGTGGAGAATCTTTGTTTGAAGCAGCTTTTGCCAATCAGCGCTCAGAAGTGGTACATGAACACCACATGGCTGTAAAGGGTTAAGGTACTGACCATTGATGTGTATGTGAAAAAACTGTATTTAAGCTTTGAGCACTGGGGAGTTCCTCAGTGCAGTTCTGAATGTAATCATTGTTCTGCACTCCTTGCTGCAAGTAAAACTTTTAAAACTTTGAGATCTTGTATTTGATTCTTTATTTGATCAGATCTTTATTTGAATTCTTTGTGTGTTGGGAAACTGGGGTATGAACTAACAGCATTTTTTTTACAGTCCTATCTAACGGAGAAGTTTCCTGACAGTATCACTTAGTATAGTGTAGTATAAAAGTGTGTCTTATTTCAGTCTTTAAGTCTATAATACATAAGAATTCCTCTGTGTCTGGTTTTATGCACATATGGTTTCATATTCTTCCATCCCATCCGTCCATTTTTGTCCACTTATCTGTTACCAGGTCGTGGGGGCAGCAGTCTCCACAACCGCCATCCAAATCACATTGCACCGTACCATCCCCCCGAACCTTCCTGCGGGTGGTGAGCCCACTAGAAGGCGCCAACTGCCCTAAACAGGATTAGATCTTGCCCAGGAGGTGAACCCTGGGGTTCCACACCAATGACAGAGACATTGCCTCTGCGCAAAGTGCCACTATCTAACCGTTTGGGTTATTCTGGCATACCTATCGTTGTGTAATGTGTCTTTCTTCTGGTGTCCATTTCACAATGCTATAATGTGACATCGGATCAACAACCGTCCCTCCAAAGACCACCCAGAATTTTACAAAGGACACCTGTCCATCATTCTAATCAAAACAGTTGGTGAACTATTCCTAACTACGTCAATGCAGGGATGTAAAATGTCAAAAACCTTCACACATCCTGACCACGCCACCACTGGCTGCTGGTCCTCAAAAGAACTATTGTCCTTCAATCAAAAAGGCACCATTGTCCAATTTTCAGGCCCCAAATGAATTCACAGAAGTGAAGGTAATGCATCATTTCCCACTCTGCGGCTCATGGAATAGGAATTCACACAGCCTCTGCCCTCGCCGATACAGCTCGAGCTGCATCCTTGCATTATTCTATCTGATGAATAAACGTTCGAGAACGCCAGTGTGAATGTTTCTGGAGCGAGTGAGTGTTGAATAGCTGTCTCGCTCAACACACATGCCCCTTTTCAAAATGTCAGAGAAGATCTGCTCTCCCAAGCATTGGGATCTCAAACCCCATGTTGCAGACGGCGACAGTCCGAGGGCGGGCGCGCATTGCAAATCTGCCACCACATCCTGTAACATCTGCTGCAGTGTGAGGGGAGGGTGGAGTTGTCACAACCTATCACTGCAGACCAGGCTGAACCTGATCTGCTGAGACCAAAAATGAACACCGGGCACTGTTTAAGTTGGAACAATGGGCTGCCAGAGAGGGAGATGGGAAACCTGCAGTGAATGGGAAGTGGCCATTAGAATTATAACCATTCATTTTCAGCCGTCAGTCCTGATTGCTGGGATAATTCACGATCTGCCGGTTGGTTTGAAACATTTTATCACAGAGACACTTGATGGATGAATAAAAGGGATTTAAACCGTGTTCTGATAATTATTGGTGTTGCCGCTCCTGAATGCGGATCATTTACATAAAAGCTTCTGGCAGCCGGCGGCTTATGTCTATTTTTTACAAATACTGTGGGAAATGAGTTTGTTTGTCAAATGAGAGGGACAATGTGAACAACAAAAAGGCACACACTTTCACTGAGTGAAAAAAAATGGTTTGAGGTTTGATTCCCTGAGGTAATTGATGGCTTTTCCGCATAAAGTGTGCATGTTTTGCCCATGTTTCATTGGTTTTCAAAGTGAGATGAAATTGAGTGAGATTCTGTGGAGTTATTAATAACTTATAATAACTTAATATAAATGTATTGTGTGTACAAAAATATTTAAAACAACCCACAAATGCAACAGATTTTTCCTGTGAAAGACGCCACCTGGTGCATCTCTCTAGAACCAAAACTAGCGACCCCAGGATAGACTAGCATACTGTAAAGAAAAAAAGGATTACACTGTGGAAAAGTGGTTCCCAATCTATGGTCTGAGGACCACTTGTAGTACAGTACATTTGGCCTTACTTTAGTAGTAACGCACTGCAAAAGCAAAGCAATAGTGGCTCCAAACTAGAAATCTCAAAAAACAAAAAGAAATGGCAATCGCTAACTAAGTCTGGGATTGCTTAGATTAAAGATTATATATATGTCGTTGGTTGTATGTTTTGGTTCATCAGTGCAGGAGCCCAAAGATAAATGCTAACAAAGCAGCAACAGCTTTTCACGCATGAACCGGACCCGTGCTTGGCATCTTACCTTGTATCTCTGCTTTCTGCAAAAGCTGATACAGTTTTGAATAGTGAGCTTGTTAGAGGTCTCGCTGGTGCCTGACAGAGTGGGTGGATCACCACTGTCTTTGAAGCAGCCCAAGTTCCCAGGCACTGTAGAGAGAAAACAAAATCACAGATCAGCGATGTATTGTTTAAATCAGTTTAGTTACTTACGGCGCTTCTTTTTATAGCAACTGCTTGTGAAACTCAGTATAATAACATTTAAATCTCAATGCAGCCTTTAAAATATTTGTTCCTTTCAGCAAAAAATTTAACTGTTGACAAGGCATATATAACAACAGAAATAAACCTAGAAAAATCATTGCTATGCTATTGGCTCATTGCTAAGCTAGTAGCATAGCACTTGCTAGTTTTGAATTAAATAGAAAGAGCTTATAGGAAAAACTAGGCTGACCACTCAATTCATAACTGTAAATAACAAACTTTTAATTATGAGAGAAATGAAAGAAACAATAGTCAAAAGACAAGGTGGAAGTACAAGTCTGTTTTTGTCCAATATAATATACAATACAGTGTCATATCCTGCAACCAGGCTCTTGATGGATGTTTGGTTTTGTTTTTGTCAATCAAAAAGGCACCATTGTCCAATTTTCAGGCCCCAAATGAATTCACAGAAGTGAAGGTAATGCATCATTTCCCACTCTGCGGCTCATGGAATAGGAATTCACACAGCCTCTGCCCTCGCCGATACAGCTCGAGCTGCATCCTTGCATTATTCTATCTGATGAATAAACGTTCGAGAACGCCAGTGTGAATGTTTCTGGAGCGAGTGAGTGTTGAATAGCTGTCTCGCTCAACACACATGCCCCTTTTCAAAATGTCAGAGAAGATCTGCTCTCCCAAGCATTGGGATCTCAAACCCCATGTTGCAGACGGCGACAGTCCGAGGGCGGGCGCGCATTGCAAATCTGCCACCACATCCTGTAACATCTGCTGCAGTGTGAGGGGAGGGTGGAGTTGTCACAACCTATCACTGCAGACCAGGCTGAACCTGATCTGCTGAGACCAAAAATGAACACCGGGCACTGTTTAAGTTGGAACAATGGGCTGCCAGAGAGGGAGATGGGAAACCTGCAGTGAATGGGAAGTGGCCATTAGAATTATAACCATTCATTTTCAGCCGTCAGTCCTGATTGCTGGGATAATTCACGATCTGCCGGTTGGTTTGAAACATTTTATCACAGAGACACTTGATGGATGAATAAAAGGGATTTAAACCGTGTTCTGATAATTATTGGTGTTGCCGCTCCTGAATGCGGATCATTTACATAAAAGCTTCTGGCAGCCGGCGGCTTATGTCTATTTTTTACAAATACTGTGGGAAATGAGTTTGTTTGTCAAATGAGAGGGACAATGTGAACAACAAAAAGGCACACACTTTCACTGAGTGAAAAAAAATGGTTTGAGGTTTGATTCCCTGAGGTAATTGATGGCTTTTCCGCATAAAGTGTGCATGTTTTGCCCATGTTTCATTGGTTTTCAAAGTGAGATGAAATTGAGTGAGATTCTGTGGAGTTATTAATAACTTATAATAACTTAATATAAATGTATTGTGTGTACAAAAATATTTAAAACAACCCACAAATGCAACAGATTTTTCCTGTGAAAGACGCCACCTGGTGCATCTCTCTAGAACCAAAACTAGCGACCCCAGGATAGACTAGCATACTGTAAAGAAAAAAAGGATTACACTGTGGAAAAGTGGTTCCCAATCTATGGTCTGAGGACCACTTGTAGTACAGTACATTTGGCCTTACTTTAGTAGTAACGCACTGCAAAAGCAAAGCAATAGTGGCTCCAAACTAGAAATCTCAAAAAACAAAAAGAAATGGCAATCGCTAACTAAGTCTGGGATTGCTTAGATTAAAGATTATATATATGTCGTTGGTTGTATGTTTTGGTTCATCAGTGCAGGAGCCCAAAGATAAATGCTAACAAAGCAGCAACAGCTTTTCACGCATGAACCGGACCCGTGCTTGGCATCTTACCTTGTATCTCTGCTTTCTGCAAAAGCTGATACAGTTTTGAATAGTGAGCTTGTTAGAGGTCTCGCTGGTGCCTGACAGAGTGGGTGGATCACCACTGTCTTTGAAGCAGCCCAAGTTCCCAGGCACTGTAGAGAGAAAACAAAATCACAGATCAGCGATGTATTGTTTAAATCAGTTTAGTTACTTACGGCGCTTCTTTTTATAGCAACTGCTTGTGAAACTCAGTATAATAACATTTAAATCTCAATGCAGCCTTTAAAATATTTGTTCCTTTCAGCAAAAAATTTAACTGTTGACAAGGCATATATAACAACAGAAATAAACCTAGAAAAATCATTGCTATGCTATTGGCTCATTGCTAAGCTAGTAGCATAGCACTTGCTAGTTTTGAATTAAATAGAAAGAGCTTATAGGAAAAACTAGGCTGACCACTCAATTCATAACTGTAAATAACAAACTTTTAATTATGAGAGAAATGAAAGAAACAATAGTCAAAAGACAAGGTGGAAGTACAAGTCTGTTTTTGTCCAATATAATATACAATACAGTGTCATATCCTGCAACCAGGCTCTTGATGGATGTTTGGTTTTGTTTTTGTTTTTATTATCTCAAAACAAGATCATAATTTACTGACACGGCATTCCATTAGGCCAGTCCTGAGACTACTCATTAGGAGTAGACTGTTGAGGTCTATGTTTAGTGTAGCTATAAATCTAGTGAGAAGTAACTTTTTCCTGCAGGTTTCTGTTTCTATTTTCTTGGAGCATCTATTCAAAACCATTCAAACCAACCAAACTAGCAGGTAAGGTCTTCAGTTAGTAAGGATATGCACAAACTCCACATAAAACATGGATGTTCTCTTTTTAAAGACAACCTGAAAATGCAGTTCTGGTTGTATTACTACCACTGGCCAGCAGGGGCTGACTCTATTAAATTCTGGCTCCCTATGATACTATCATTAACAGATTTTTGTAGAAATTCTTTTTTGTGTGATTTTCAACAAATTAAAACTTCTATGAGAGGTTGCAATAAAATATCAATCTGATTTTTTTTTTAATATTTAAATACTAGACTGGGCCCTTAGAGCAGTCGTGGGGAATGTGCCATTTGGTACCGGACCATAGAACAAAATAATAAAACATTATTTGTATTTCATTGGTAATCAGTACTTATTTTAGAAGAAAAACCTAAGAATTTGTTTTTTTCTATTTCTATTTTTTAATTTATTTTTTTTAGAACATTTTAAAACATTTTAAAATGTCAGGAAAGTCTGTTAAGCTTCTTTGCGAACACTTTCAGAGACGCCTGAGGTTTGATGACGTGCGGGGTGGAGCTGTTGGAGGAGACATTTCTCACACACAATTATTTGCTTTGACTTAGGATCAGTCAGAACCCTTGTTCCTCAAGTTTGATTCAATTATTCGCCTGCAGGTTTCTGTTTTGATCTTTTAATTAATTAATTTGTTTGATTGACTTTAACTATTTAATTTGTGTTAATAGTTTATAATTGTACATTCGACTTATGAATAGGCCAGAGTTACGCAAAAAAGAGTTCTGGCTCATTCTGTCAGGCCAAAAGCATGTTGGGAGTAACCATGCGGCACAAACTTATTATCTGTGGCAGTGATTTTTATTTTAAAAGTCTTTCATCTGCTTACCTACGGTGACAAAACCCACCAAGAATAACCGCACCATTTCAATATTCTGGTGTAAATTTTACAAAAAAAAAAAAAAGCCAGAGAGGAGGAGGAGGAGGAGGAGAAGAGGAGTGGGGCTGAGAAGAGGGTGAAGCAAGACAAGCAGAAGAAGAAGATGAGTCATTGTGAGACAGAGGAGGAATCTGGAAAATGTGCTCAAATGCATCAAATTGGGGATATTGTATTCTACTAGAAATGTGCGGTAAATGATCACATTCTTTAAAGTCTGGAAATGTCATGTGGTATGTTGCAACAGAGAAGAATAGACAAATAGCGATTCCTGGACGACCAACATGTGTGGTCGACATGCAAACTAAAAAAATCTGACGACGGAGCTTTGTGTCCTTTCTTTTATTCATCCAGGCCTTCTTCTGTGTTCTGTAAACAAGATACCATCCATCCATCCATTTTCATCCGCTTATCCGTTACCAGGTCGCGGGGGCAGCAGTCTCCTTGACCACCACCCAAATCACACTGCACCGTACTAACCCCCCTGAACCTTCCTGTGGGTGGTGAGTCCACTGGAAGGTACCAGGATTCGAACTTGCCCAGGAGGTGAACCCTGGGGTTCCACACCAATGACAGAGACATTGCCTCTGGGCCAAAGCGCCACTAAACAAGACACCATTTTTCAAAACCTACAACAGTGAATTAAAAACCATAACATTACAAAGCCTTTAAGGTCAACATAACAGTTCAGGAAGTGCCAACAAAAACACTGCCTCCAGCAGTCATCTCAGTGTCCCACTGAGGATTTGTTATTCCCCGTGATTCAAAAGGCTTTGATTTTTCACTGCTCTGTTCTGGGGTAAAACAAATTTGACAAAACAAAGAAAATGCAAAAATCTGTTATTTTCTCTACGTAGAAGTCAACAAAAGAATCACGTGAAGTCGATTGGATACGAGAGAGAGAGAACGAGAGAGATTTGGAAGAAAACAGAAAGGACAACACAGAGCAACATGTTCGAATTAGTGCTGCTTTGAAACACAACGAGGAGGCAAAAATCAAAAGCATATGAACTCATAAAATGTTCCTGTTCTCTATCAAGCATCAACTTTTTTTGGCATTCAATTGTAAACTAAATTAGGAACAAACCACGCTCACTACAAAATACAAGTGTTATTGATGGTTTCTGTTTCAGATATCTAATTTCTCGTCACGTCAAATTCAAATCTCCTCAAGTTCGGATATTAGGGGGTGAAATGTGGTCAATTCGGTCCAACGTTTCTTATCAAGTTATTTGTTTTTACATTGACAGCAATGTAATTTAGAGCATTTCCTCACAGAGTAGCATCAGCAGTCTCCTGCTTTTTATGAAGTTTTTCTGCATCAATAAAATGCTAGTATCTGTCTATTCAGCTAATGTACGACTGACACACAGACCGTTGCCAGTGAGAA